AGTTCGGGCATGTAGGGTAGCAATAGGACCGTGGGATTTTCCAAACTGGTTGGGAAAGCAGGGAAAACAGGACAGGTGGCAGATGGAAGAGAGAGAGGAAAAAAAAACGTTAGGTGGAGTAACGGATTTCAGGCGGGAAAATCGAGGAGAGAAATTTTCGATTTTGAAAGCACCAGGTAACTTTCGGGCCAGGGACAAAAAATTTCACATTTCAAAGCACCCGGTAACTTTCGGGCCCAGTAATTTCCGGGGCCGGTAACTTTCGGGCCAGGGACAAAAAATTTCGCATTTGAAAGCACCCGGTAACTTTCGGGCCAGGGACAAAAATTTTCGCATTTGAAGCACCCGGTAACTTTCGGGCCAGGGACAAAAATTTTCGCATTTCAAGCACCCGGTAACTTTCGGGCCCCGTAACTTTCGGGCCCCGTAACTTTCGGGCCCCGGTAACTTTCGGGCCACGTAACTTTCGGGCCCCGGTAACTTTCGGGCCAGGGACAAAAATTTTCGCATTTGAAAGCACCCGGTAACTTTCGGGCCAGGGACAAAAATTTTCGCATTTCAAGCACCCGGTAACTTTCGGGCCAGGGAGAGAGGACACGTGGCAGATGGAAGAGAGAGGAAAAAAAAAAGTAAGGTGGAGTAACGGATTTCAGGCGGGAAAATCGAGGAGAGAAATTTTCGCATTTGAAAGCACCCGGTAACTTTTGGGTGGAGTAACTGATTTCACGCGGGAAAATCGAGGAGAGAAATTTTCGCATTTAACTTTCGGGTGGAGTAACGGATTTCAGGCGGGAAAATCGAGGGGCCGGTTCGAATCCAGATACTGTCAGATGAACAGACAAAATAATTATGAATTATTTGGGGCCGGTCGGTTCAGTGATGATATCTCAAGGCCATCAGCCTTAAATTTAAAAAAAAAAAAAAAAAAAAAAAAAAAAAAAAAAAAAAAAAACACGAGAAGGCGTGAGAAGTGAAAACCAATCCACTAGGTAGGGTAGGACATGATTCAGTACACCCCCTGGAATAATTAAGAGGTTAATTACGTACCCCCCCTCAATAATAAAGGGGTCACTAAGCCCCTCAGATAATATAGTCAGAGCCCCTCGCGATTTAATTACCTAGGTTAAAGCGGGTAGACCCAAACATTATCGTTTCTGTATTTCACCTGATGAGAGTCTGATTCAGGCAGGAATTGAACTCGTGACCTGTTTACTCAGAGTTTACCCATGGGCAGGCTGCTGGGCGGGTAGGACTGGCAAAACAATAGACGTGCCCGTCTCAAGCGCTTTCTTTTTTTTTTTTCTTTTTTTTTTTTTTTTCGTCGACGAGAAGGGCAAGTTTTTTTGTTTTTTTTTTCCCCCGGATGGAAAAGCGGATAGAAAAACAAAACGCTGCAAATTTCGGGGGGAAAGGGGGGGGGGAAGAAAAAGCGGTTGATTCCCTCACCTGCTTTTTTTCCACTGTGTTTTTTTATCCCAAGATTTTCTTTCCTTTTTTAAAATGACGATGAAGGAAAGAGTAGAGGGGGAAAGCGCGCGGGGGGAAGCGCGCGGGGGGAGAGGGGGGCGGGGGGGAAGGAGAGAAGAGGAGGGGGCTCTTTCCAGCCTTAGTTTCCCGCACGAATTTTTTCCCTCTTTTTTTTTTTTTTTCCTTCTTCAGATCTCATCACCATCTAGTCTTCGTTGCGCTGTCTTTCTTCCTCATCACCAGCTTTCTAAAAAAATATTTTTTTCCCCTTTCTTTTCCCTTTCTTTTCCCTTTCTTTTTCCCTTTTTTTTTCCTTTTCTTTTTCCTTTTCTTTTTTATTTTTTTGTTCTTTTTTTTTTTTGTGTGTGTTCCCCTCATTTTATTGAAATTTATTGTTTATTTTTCCTTTTTTGCGGCGGGTGGTCGGGGGACGGGGGGGGGGGGGGGGGGGGGGGAGAGGAGAAAGACTGCGCATAAAACATCCACTTGAATTTTACGTACGGCATTCATGCATAAAAAGTATTCAAATTTCGAAACTGATAAAACAAAAAGTTAAAGACGTGAATTTTTTTTTTTCCACCGTTTTTCAGACCTCTACAACAACGTGGAGGCGTTTTATAACAAAAAAAAAAAAAAAAAAATCAGCATTTAGAAGTACGAAGAAAAATAAAAAATAAATAAAAAATTCACCATTTAGAAGTACGAAGAAAATCAACAATAATCGTGCAAGCGTCTCATTTTTTTTCCCAGAAGTACCGAGACCAGAATCCTGACTGATTACCGTGATTGTATCGAGTCGAAATTTCAGTCGCGTTCAGAGATCTCTCTTTTTTTTTTTCGGTATGATATATGCCGCACGCTATGCCCTGATTTCGATTCTTATTCTATAATAAATACGCCCTTGTTCATCATTTGAGAAAGAGATGAGGGACAGCCGGGTTATCTTCCTCCTCCCTCTTCGGGCAATGACAAAGGGCATATAATCTGAACCCTCCTCCAAATCCCAAAAAAATGGGGGGCCCTGGGTCGGGGTCCCAGTTGCGAAGAGGACTGGATTGATGGAATCCCTGAATCTGGACGTGTTTCTGGAGAAGTGCAGAAAAGGAAAAGGGGGCCCTGGGTCGGGGTCCCAGTTGCGAAGAGGAATGGATGGTTCCAATCCCTGAATCTGGACGTGTTTCTGGAGAAGTGCAGAAAAGGAAAGCGGGGCCCTGGGTCGGGGTCCCAGTTGCGAAGAGGACTTTGTTAAGGATTTTTTGGCGGAGGGTTCGGAGTACGCCCTTTTTTGTGAATCAAGGCATAATCCGAACCCTCCGCCAAATCCACAAAAAAGGGGGGCCCTGGGTCGGGGTCCCAGTTGCGAAGAGGGGACTGGATGGATGGAATCCCTGAATCTGGACGTGTTTGTGGAGACGTGCAAAAAATCGTGATCGATCTGCTATTCTGCATCTCGGCTTAAAACCCATCCAGATTCCGACGCCCACTCCAATCCTCTTTGCTAGTGGACCTTTGTCTCTTCTCTTCTTCCTTTTTTTTTTTTTTTTTTTAATGTGTTTCTTCCTAATTTTCGTTAGAGTGAATTTTCAATTCCTAGTTGCACCACAACCTAGCGTGTTGCTCTCCTCCCGCAGCATCCTTGTCTGTTTGCGCCGCTGATTTCAGCACCTTGTTGTCATCAGCTCTTTTTTTTTCTTTTTCTTTTCTTTTTTTTTTTTGTAGTTCTGCCTCTACCATTCTGGGGATCAAAAGTTCGGTTCCTCTTCCTCCTGGCAAGTCAATTTGGAATACACGTTTGTTGAGAATATAAGTCATTGTTTTTTCGGGAAAAAAAAAAAAAAAAAAAAAAGGGATACATGAGCGACTCACGCACGCTCCTCCCGAAGTTGTCATCAGCTCTTGCTTTCCAATCCAATCCAACTTCTGTTTTTTTTTTCTTTTTTTTTTCTTTTTCTTTTGTTTCTTTTTCTCTCTTTTTTTTTGTTTTTTGTTTTTTTTGGTCCGATGGACCATGGATCAGATTAGATACTGATCAGAACAGATACAGTGCACTTGGTCTTAGCCAAAAGGTCGGGAAAGGTAGAATCCAATCCAATTTCACTCTGGACACATCTTCACAAATTAGACCTGTTGGAAGTCCCAGTTGTGCTAGGGGTAATACCGCAATTTCATTTTTTTTTACTTTTTAAAAAATAAAAATGCAGGCTTTTCTTTTAGTTTCTAATGAATGCAGTTTTTAGTATTACAGCAAGGTGCTACACGTTTGAAGGCTTTTTTTTTTTTTTTTTTTTTGAGCAAAGATTGACCTAGCCTTTGAGACGGATAGGCAGGCAGCTCGTGGGGTGCAAAATACTAAATAAAAGTTAGTCAAAACAAGTGCGGGAAAAAATAATCGAGGCGACTGAAGAAACTTCAGTGCTATGTTCGATTTATTTTAATATTCTTTTGTGGAGGGAAGGGGGAAAAAGGGGGAAAAAGGGGGAAGGGGGGAAGGGGGGAAGGGGGAGCGGGGGGGGCATGCCGTCTGTATCGTTCCAATGTTAAGGGATATCCCAAAGGATAACCGTCTTCACCCAACTACAACGCCCTGTCATTATCGCTGTATCGAGACGGAAAGTTGCCCCATATACAGCTATAATGATGGGGCGTTCTATTCGGGGGAAGACGGTACTGGATTGGATTTTATTTTTTTTGTCCTCAGGCGTTTTAGTTTGTTTGCTTGTCGGTTTTTTTTTTTTTTTCCTTTTTTTTTTTCCTTTTTCCCTCAAGAGGGCCGACGGCCTTGAGATGTCATAATCGAAGTGACCGCCCCCTGGTTTACTTATTTTTGTTTATTAATT